AAAATATATACAGAACTACACTACAAGAAAAAGACATCCCTGTGGAAAAGTGGATCGGGGACCTGACGAGGCACATCACAAAGAGAGGATAGTTCAGTGGCTGATAAACACATGAGAAGCTACTGAACCCTCTTGGTCGTCGGAGGAACGCAGATCAAAGCCACAGTATGATCCGTCCACCGGTCACCAGAATGGCTACGATTAAAAAGACGGACAATACCAACTAATGAAGAAAACGTGCAGTAATTGCTGCTCAAGTACAGCGTGTGGACGCGGAAGTTTCTACCAATGCTTCTGAAAAGAATTTGATGTTCTCTCCTGATGTTGAGGACGCTTACACTCTGTGGCCCAGGCGCTGCATTCCTTTTTTTATATATAAAATTTTTAAGGTTTATTTCTTTATTTTGAGAGAGAGAGAGTGGGAGAGAGAGCATCCCAAGCGGGCTCTGCACCTCACTGTCAGCGCAGAGCCTGATGTGGGGCTCGAACTCAAGAATCCTGAGAGCACGACCTGAGCTGAAACTGAATCAGACAGGTGAGCAACTGAGCCACCCAGGTGCCCCCGTTTTTTTTTTAATTGTTTTAAAGTTTATTTAACAGGAGCTGCATCCCTAAGTATGAACCCAATAGACCAGTGTGCACGTGCGCGTCAGAGCAGACCTACAAAAATGTCCGCAGCAACAAGCGCGATAGCCCCAAACTCGAAACAACCCAAACACCTGTCAACCCTACGAAGGATGCGGTGTGAGCATACAACACACTACCACACGGCAGTGAATGGCACCTACTGCTGCTACGTGCAGCGGCGTAGACAGAATGCACCAAAATGACGAGGGAAGAAAGATAAGAACACACGCATCGTGTACGTCAAGGTCAAAAACAGATAAAACCAAAAAAGGTCTAGGGGTAAATAATTGCCTGGTAATTTACAAAGAAAACCTAGGAGGCAAGAAAGGAGAATGTGGAGAAAGGAAGCGTCTGCGCCGTCGAGGAGCCCCGCAGTGGACGGCGAGGTTCTCGGCTCTTGGCCAAAGCCCCATTTCTTGACCTGGCTGGGGGTCATGCAAGTGTCCTGGGCACAGCCATCCATTAATCTGTACACTCATGTTTTATGCGATGCCTTTGTAACACTGGGTTACCAACGCTGTCCAAAGCAGAGGACTGTGAAGGACTTAGACGCTACAGCAGACATCATTTTCTCCAACTAGAAAAAGATTGGGTTTGCAGAAATTATGTGTCATACAAGGCAAGAACTCTCCATCCCGATCTGCCTGACAGTTGGGGGTGAATCAGTGGGTAACTTTTCGTGTGGGAGTGTGCACTGTGCATTGTAAGATGGTCAGCGCGGTCTCTGACGTCTACACCCCAGACAACAGAATCCCATCTCTCCTGTCTATCCAGCAGATGCCAGAGTCACCCGCTCCCCTAATTGTGACAGCCGGTGGAGAACCACCATCTTGGAGGAATTAACACTTTGAGGTGTTGCTTTTCTGTGCTCTGGTTACACATTTTCTAGAGCAGCCTTCTCAAGAGTTCTGTGTTTTTGGAGTTTTCTGTTCCCTTGTGCTCATCACACTCTTCCAGTTTTCTCTGGCCGTTTACTTGCAACCCCCCTGAGATTCATTCCTCCGTAACTTGTTTGTCAGCTACACGGACCCATGTGACTTGAAGAACGGGCAAATGCCTCTCATAGTTATTGTAAATACCATGATGCAAGTTTCGGTACCATCGCTCGAGGGGAGATATTTTCAAATGGAATGCCATGCCAGTGGGAACCAGCTGATGTCCGAGAGACTCTAATCTCAGTCCTTATGAGCCACACAGATTGGCAGGACACCCCGGGCGTTAGCCCACCACTAATCCTGATGAGGGATGAAGATATAAGGGGGTCTTCTCCTCCATCTGTAGAAGCCCGCCATGCCCCCACACCCCCTTCCCACCCATCCCTAACTCCACGCCTTCTCTGGCTTCCACGTCAACAAAGACAGATTTCAGCAGCCATGACTCAACCCGTGATTCCAATTATACTTCTCAGGGAGCCACATCAAGAACCAAAAGTATAGGGTGAAACACCAGAGTCTGCCGTGGCATTTTGTGTTGTTTTCTTTTTTTTTTTTTTACTGCTCTATTTTAAGTCACTACCAGTAACTGGAATCTGTATACCTCACTGAACTTTTGAAAGCAAGCTCCTTTACAGCACATTCAGTGTGCAGTTTTGGGAACATGAGTAACCGGTTTTGCTAACTTTGTGTATTTTCATTGGCTGACAATTTGCAAACCCATCTGTGGGACAGTGATAAGCCACCCCCGGTTTTTTCAAAAAAACAAGCAGAATCACGATTGGGCTGAACGTATTGCTTATTTTTCGAGATGAAGTCAAGACCAGTCCTCCCGTCCCTGAGGATGGATTCTCTCTCGGGTTTACGCCCTCTTTCTGGCACCTTCCGCCCCAGCCTCTCCTTCCGCAAGTGCAGCTGGCTGGGGTCAGTGCAAGGATGCTGGGCCCACAGTCTGGGGTGGATGGTTCCAGGAGCCTGGGCTTCCCAAGCCTGACGCCTCCCCGCGGCCTGTTCCCTGGCTTTGCACCTGCAGACCAGCCCTGCTAGCGGTGTCTGTACAATCTCTGGGACACTTGGCCATCATGCCTCCCTATCTGAGCAGTCAGAACCCAGTTCTAGAGCGACACGCTCTCTCGGGCCGATCAGTCCCTGAGTTCCTCCCACGCCTCCTTCTCTGACGCACGTAGTCAGGACGAAACGTGACTTATATATGTGTGCCTCCTCGTTTCCCAGGGCCCATTCGTAGCCCCATTGTCTGTTTCTTGGATCTCAACTTCTTCCCCCATGTGCTCTGAAAGAGTAATTTCACGCATCAGAATGACTGAGACTCCTAAAACATACGTGCACCGGAACGTTCTGAGCACTTGAATCTTGGTGACAACCCTGTGACGTAGATTCTCCTGTGATTGCCACTTTACAGATAAGGAAACTGAGGCACAAATGAGTTAAGTCAGTTGGCAAAGGACACAGAATCGAGACATGGTTTGAGCTCCGGATATGTAGCTGTGGGAGCAGTTTCCTAGGACCAGGACGCTGGTGGGGGGCCCCCACAATCACATGTCCAAACAGGCCTCCCCTAAACCACCGTGGCTCGCCCGGTCTGTGTCTCCGTGCTGTTAGTGCTATCTCTACCTTTGTCTTGTCCGCCCGAACATCTTATGTTCCTGTGGACGGGTCAGACAGAGTCATCTGAATCTCGCTGTCCCTCTGTTAGGGCCTCACAAGGCCGAGAACTGTTTTTGCTACTTACCAAAACCGTTTTTTAATTGCTTCGAAATATCAGCATGTTAAAAACTCAGTTTATATCAACATGCTGTTGAATCTGTGAATGATTTTCCAAATGAATGTTTTTGGCCAGAATGCTCTGCTCCCTTCTCTTCCTGTGTTCAGGTCGTTTAGGATGTACCCTTGTCTTTCTTTGTCTTTTCTTTCTTTTCTCTTTTTCTTCTTCCTCCTCCTCTTTTTTTCCCTTCATTATTCCACCTTTACCCATCTTCCCAACCACACTCTCTTCTTTGTTTCTTTTTTGTCCTGGAATATTTTCTGAATTGATTTCAAGTGCTGACCGCATCCACACCGGGACCTGAGTGACCCCGTGCAGATTGCTCATAGTTGTTCTGGAAAAAACGGCAAGGAGGAGGGGGGTCCAAAAAAAAATAAATTTAAGAAATACAGCATTAAGGAAATATAAACAGATTTATATACAGAAGCCACTAGTAAGCCCGGAGCCACTGCTAGAATAATGTAGGCTATAGATCTTTAAGAGGAGGACACAGCCTGGAGGATTCCCCACGTCTGCGTGACACTAGACTCCAGGGAACATTTTTGAGAGTTACTCTGTGAGGAGTAAACATAGATTCAAATGAAAGCTTTCATTTCTGGAGCCACGGGGCCTGGGGTTGAATTTACCTTCCTTCATGACATAACTGGAGGCCTTTGGGCAAGTCGCTACACTGTTTTCGGGAATAACCACACTTATTTCTTGGGATTATTACAACAGACGTGTGCTCGAATGACTTAATGAAAGATGTTTTAAGTTTTTATTTCTTTGTTTTTACTTTATTTATCTTTACTTGATTATTTCTATTGACCATGCAAGTACCCAAAACAAAAGAGCAGATGTGCCCATGACAACAAGGGCTCCGAGAAAAGCATGGGTCACTCCATCTTTCTTGACGCATTAGCTTTCACAACGACTGACCTGGAAGAGAGCTACCGTTTTGTGGCTAGCTTGGGCCGCGTGTCTGGACTTGGCGATGATTGTGAGGAGCGAAAAATAACAGAGAACGTACCTTTTAGGCCCGGCAGCCATCAGTTCCAGACGATCCCCAAACCAGAGACCATTATGTTGACAAGTTTTGAGCTGGAGCCATTAAGAAGAATAAGTAAAATAGATTTATTTGCTTGGATGTGATTCAAGATTGTTCATAAGTTGCTTTTGTTTTTTTAAGTGTGCCCATTTATTTTGAGAGAAAGGGTATTAGTGGGAGAGGGGCAGAGAGAGGAGAGAGAGAGAATCGCAAGTGGGATCCGTGCCGTCGGCACCGAGTCTGATGCAGGACTCGATCTCACGAACTACGAGGTCATGCCCTGAGCAGAGGTCAGGAGTCGGACAAACATACTGAGGCACCCAGGCGCCCCCTCAAGTTACCTTTTAAGGTAGTTTCAAGGTCACCACTGTGTGAGAAGTGGCTGCGGCTATCGCTCTGAATATGGAAGAGCCACGGTATCGGTGTGTCCATAGCCACTTCTCTGTGAACTCACAGAGCTTGCTTGGCGGTGATTTTTCTCTCTTCCGCTTCCCAGATTCTCTTCACTCACTTATTGACTGCAGTTTATTCTTGAGTAATCCAAGCGTGCGATCTTCTGCAAACATATTAGGTATTAAGATACTGGTGAGAGAGGTGGGTAGAAACCTTACAGCATTTTCTCTTGTGGCAGGTGTCAGGCTGACTGCAGTGATGAAGAACGGTATTGCAGGTCCCGTCTGAAGATAGCAAGCCCTCACAGTGATGGAAAATCTCCATAGACACTCTATCGTTTTATTTCAAAGCAGGGGAGACGAATCTGTGTGTAGCAGAGAAACATCGATTTTAATGTCCAGTTTCAAGAGATTGTCAATTAGCAAATAGTAACGTTTGTTTTGAATGCTGTAAGTCACAGTTTTCCTCTGCACATGGGACAAGTCCCATGCGTGTGACAACACCCTGATGCCATGATAGTAGGTCTCAGTCCGTTTATGCTGCCAGAATCAAATGCCACGGACTGGGTGGCGCCTACACCACAGAAGTTCATTGCTCACAGCTCTGGAGGCTGGAAGGTCCGCTCTCAGGGCATCAGCACGGCTGGGTTCTGGCGAAGACCCTCCTCCGGGCTGCAGGCTGCAGACTCCTTGCCGCGTCCTCCCGTGGTGGAAGGGACACGCTAGCTCGCTGTGTTGCCGCAAAAGGCAGAACCTTCGTGATCTAACCAAACCCCCCAGAGCCCCATCACCTTTGGGGTTAGAATTCCCACAGAAGAGTTTTGGGGAGACGCGAATATTCGGACCCTAGCAAAGTGTGAGGGTGAACAAGAGCCGGGGGGGTGACTCGGCCCGTCATTCTGTAAGAGGAACCATTGCACAAGCCCTAGGTTCACGGCCTTGAAGGCCTGCAGGGCGCCACACAGGACCTTGGTGAGAGAGAAGGTCCGTGTCATTGAGTCTACTCCCAATGAGAAGGCTGATCCTGTGAGGTCCTAATAGCAACGAAAAAAAAAAAAAAAATTCTAGAGGCTAATTGACTCCTATGAGTTCGAGGTTCCTTCTACCCCAGAAGTTGGCAGACTTTTTCTCTAAAGGGTCAGATGGAAAATATTTTAGTCTCTGTGGGTCATTTAGTACCTTTTGCGACAACTCGACTCTCCCATTAGAGCGCAAAAGCCAAAAAGTGAATGAACGTGACTGTTTCAACGGAACAGAGATCATACCCTAAACGTATTTTTTCTAGCCTTTCTTATGCCTGTACTTCTGGGCACTGGGATTTGAACTTCACGGAATTTGCCTACGTCAAGAAATACCATTCTTCTTGTGATTTCTTAAAATTGCTAACCACTCTTAGCTCATGAGGCATACCAAAGGTGTGTCAACCTTGGCTGAAACCGTGCTCCTCACCATGTGGTCCACAGACCTGTGGCTTCACCCGGAGGCTCATCAGGAATGCTGATTCTCAGGCTCCGTTGCAAACATGCTCTGTCAGAACTAGAAGACTAAATATCAGGAAGGCAGAGACCTCGTCTGCTCTAGATGTAGACCCAACACAGTGCCTTATACACAGTAGCTTCTCAGACAAATATTTGTTAAAAGAATGCCTCCAGGAGTTTGTTCAGGCTCCCCCATTATAAACAAGTAAATCTTCTGGGAATACGTGCTCGAAGGGTTAAAATGAACTTCTGTCATCAGTCAGAAGTTTTTGCTTGTTGAAGGGCTAGAAATACATGTCCCCCTTAGCCTCACAGTATATCCTTCTCCAGGATGACTTAACCATGATGGATTTTTGCCACATACACAACAGAAGAGTAAACTTACATGAACTAAGAGGCTGGACGTTCAGCAAAATTAATACACTGGATACAAATCAAGATGCAAATAGATTTTGTGGGTTGTGTTGAAACCGTGGTAAACATGACGCAGAAGACAGGCGAGAAAAAATATGTGTAGAGTATGATCTCTTGAACCAAGCACGGAGAGAGAACAGATCTCCCCAAGGAAGTCTAAAAAATCTCTAAGCCTCCTCAACCCAGCCTCCCGGGTACTGACTTTTCTTGTTCTGACACAGCTCTTGGGGAGAATACCCTTCCTCGGGGAAAAGAAGGCTTTTGAGGAACAACACAGAAGAGTGATGGAGTGTCATCAAGGCTGGCTTCGTCGGTTGGGATCTGAGTCAGAAAGGAAAGGCAAGTGGGTATGTACGAGGGACCCCCGGGAGAGGAGGCTCACTTGTCACGCACACAGTGACACTAACTAAAGATTCCAAGGAGGAAACACGGACAATTTTGTCTTGTTCTGCTACGAAATTGCATTTCCCTGTCAAGAATATTAGATCTCCTGCAAGTTAATAAAAATCACAATATCATTAATTTTAGAGCTGCAGTGTAATTACAAATCATTAGTTCATCTGCGTCATACATTCTAAGGCCTGGAAAGGTTCAAGAATTTATTTAAGCAGCCAGCGCTACAGGTGACAGCCTCCTAGCCTCGTTCCTTGCATGGAAAGAATGCTTTCTAATCAATATTCACAGACAAGCTTTCAGTCTTTATGATATTATTAATTCAGGTTATAATGAATTGCTTCAGATTTCTTAGATAAAAAGACATAATATTGGGATTCAGTTTGGAGGCAGTATACATTAAGAGGTCAAAGGTTGTCCATAGGAGTCGTCGTCGTTTACTTTTAATTTTTTTTTTAACAAATATTTATTTTTGAGAGACAGAGAGAGACAGAGCATGAGCAGGGGAGGGGGAGAGAGAGAGAGGGAGACACAGAATCTGAAGCAGGCTCCAGGCTCTGAGCTGTTTGTTACCACAGAGCCCGATGCGGGGCTCGAACTCACGAACTGCGAGATCCTGACCTGAGCCGAAATCGGACATTCCACCGACTGAGCCACGCAGGCGCCCCAAGACGGCTAAACAAGTGGAATTTACCCTGGGTACTAGCCTTTCATGTCAGTAAATGTCATAAAATCTGGGTATGTGTTGTGTTTTACATACTGAGAGAATAAGATTATGATCGTTAACGATTTCTTTGTCGTTTCACAAAGACGCGTTCTAATGCACTTTCCATGACCTCTTCAGACGTGTCCAGTCTCTGCGTTCCCCCGTCAGACTCGAAGGTCTGTGCAAGGAAGGGCCGTGCGGCCCCAGGCAAGCACAGCGCCTGGGACGTGGTGGGGACGCAGCGGTATTGTTCAATGAGTGACCCGTGGATGTTGCCAAAACTTATTTCTGTCCCACCTTGGTCCTTGTATTTCCCACTCTGAGGCCTGTGTGGCTGAGCTTCTAATTCATAAAATCCCAAAGGAAGAAACCGACTTAGTACTCCTCACACACCCGTTCCTTTCCAGAAAGTAACCACAGGGACACGGGCAGCAGTAGGAGATAGGAGCCGTTGTCTGCAGTTCGTGGGTTCGTGGCACCCACGCATGTTTCGGTAAAGGAGGAAAAAGCACTGAATCACCAGATCCTTCTTTTCTTAAAACACAGAGGTGAATTATGACCATTTCAGTGTCTACTCAGTGAAGTGTCTAATATTACCGTGCAATACTACACGAGGATCGGTACCTAAATGAAAAGAAAAAAAGGGAGAGCTTAATTTCCCAGGACCGATGTGAGAGCTGGAGAAAGAGCAAGGAGGAGGCCGGCCGGGAACACTAAGAAATGCCGAGAGTCCAGCAGGGCCGTGGGCCCCTGCAGAACCATGAGGCCCCACCGTGACCCTGCTCCCGTGGGGGATGGGCTGACAGGCCGGCAGCACGTGGCCACAGGCTCCTCCCCACACACCGTGTGGTGGCCACAGTGCCACAGGCCTCACGTATCAGGAAATGATGAACAAGACACCCCCACAAACCGGAGCCCCCACCTCCTCAGATGAAAGAATTTTAAGGAAGCTTTTACTTGGACTTACAATAAATTGTCTTGTTTTCTGGAAGGCCTGCGGTCTTGCTTACTTCTTGGCCAGTGTGCACGTTGACCGGCGGGAGAAACGCAGGGGAGGGAAATGGTCTCAGGCCCAGGGGGGGCACAGCTTACAGGGATGGCCCCAGACCTCTCCCTTCAAGGCGTGGCACCGTTTTTGTTTGGCGTCACTTCTGGGTTTGGGTGTTGGACACTTTCTTCCTTCAAACGTCACGTACCAGTGGCTGATTTGCAAATCTGCAGCATAAATTCAAGACACTCTCCAGTTGCTTTCCTAGTAAATCGTATTGTATGATAGCAAATATGAAAGAAATCCTGCTAAATGGCTTCTCATTACTGTAGTAATAGTCCGAAAGGGATTATAATAGCACCGGAGCTCAGGTCTTTAAAGTCATGGGTAACTTCTGTCGTAAGATTGGATGAACACATCTCGGTGGCTTTAACCTTATTATTTCTCATTTTAGCCAATTTTCCAAAATAACCTGATATGAATAACAAACTCTGACACTGAGATAGTTTAAGGGATTTATGCGGCAACACGAACTAGACTAGCATTCACATCATCTGGGAGGGTTTCAGAAGGAGAAGACAGAGAAGAGGAGGCAGAAAAGTTACTTGAAGAAATCAAAGCTAAAAATTTCCCTAACCTGGGGAAGAGAACAGACATCTAAGACCCGGAAGCCCAGAGAATTCCCTATAAAATGAACCTAAAGGAGATCCACATGAGCCAATAGTAACTCAGAATGGATTAAAGGCTTGAATGTACGACCTCAAATCCTAAGCCTCCTGAAAGGAAACAGGTGGTAAGCTCATTGGCGTGGGTCTTGATCCTTTTTTTTTTTTTTTGGATCTGACTCCAAAATTAAAAGCAACAAAAGCAAAAATAAAGAGGTTAGAGGACATCAAATTAAAAAGCTTCTGCACGACGAAGGGAACATAATGGGATATTTGCAAGTCCCATATCTGATAAAGGGTTCGTACACAAAATATATAAAGAAATCATAGAAGTCAACAGCAAAAACAAAACAATCTAATTAAAAAATGGCCAGAGGGTCCGAATAGCTTTTCTTCCCCCAAAGATGACCTACAGATCGCCAATCGGCACATGAAAAAATAGCATCGTTAACCATCAGGGAAATGCACGTCAAAGCCACAAGATTACCACCTCACGCCTGTGACAGTGGCTATTGCCAAAAAGACAAGAAACAACAAGAAGTGGGAAAGACGGAGGGGAAAAGGAACCCTTGTGTCTCGGTGGGCGTGTAAATTGGTGCAGGTACTGCGGAAAGCAGGATGGAGCTCCTCACAAAACTGCAAATGGAACTCGCATGTTGTCGACCAATAGCAATTCTGGGAAAAGAGCCAAAGGACGTGAAAATACGGATTCAACAAGATATGTGCACCCTCGCGTCCACAGCAGCATTACGGACAGTGGGTGAGATCCGGAGACACCTGGGTGTCCATCGATGGGTGAACAGACAGAGGAAATGCATATACGTACACTATGACGTACTACTCAGTCAGAAGAGTGAAACCTTGACATTTGGGACAACGTGGCTAGAACATGAGGGCAGTGTCCTGAATAAAAGAAGTTGGAGAAAGACACAGACCGTATGTTCTCACTTACTTGTGGAATCTACACAAACAGAGCAAACTCAGACGCAGAGACCAGGCTGGGGGCTGCCAGGAGTGGGGGCTGGTGGGTGGGCAAACGGGTAAGAAAGTCCAAAGGCACAAAGTTCCAGTTATAACATAAGCCGTGGGGCTGCAGGTACAGCAGGGCCACGTGGCAACTGCGGTGGAAAATACCGCAGTCGTGTATTTGAAAGGTGTCAGAGTAGATCTGTTCTTCCGTATTTATTTATTTTTGAGAGACAGGGCATGCGAGGGAGGGAGTGGGGGAGGGGCAGAGAGAGAGGGAGACGCAGAATCCGAAGCAGGCTCCAGGCTCTGAGCTGTCAGCACAGAGTCCGATGCTGGGCTCGAACTCACAAACCAGGAGATCATGACCTGAGCCGAAGTCTGACTTCGGCTTGACTGACTGAGCCACCCAGGCGCCCCACGAAGACACAATCTTGAAAGATTGTAGGCCAGGAAAAATTTGCCATTATGTACGGTGACGGGTATCAACGCGGCTGATTTTGGTGATCAGTTCACAATGTATACAAATATCAAATCATTGTGTGGTGCACGCAGAATGAATACGTCAGTTAGTCCTCAGTGAAAAGAAAAAGTACTGACCTTCTGCTTTAAAGAAGTTCGAGTCGAATACAGATCTACGAATACCCACGTTCGTTCGCATTATTCACAACGGCCAACAGGTGGAAGCGAGCCGCAGGCCACGGGTGGAGAAGTGGCTAAGGAAAACGTGGGGCATACATACAGTGCTGTGTGATGCTGCTTTGGAAACAGACGTCCTCTCCCATGAGCCACCACGGGTGAATCTTGAGGACATTATCCCAAGCGAAATAAGCCAGTCCCCAAAAGCACGGCATAATTTCACTCACATGAGGTATCTACGGTGGTCAGACTCAGAATCGGCAGGTGGAAGGGTGGTCGCCAGAGGGAGGGACCCGGGAAAGAGGGCCGTTCAGGTGGCGGGATTCTCGGGTCTACAAGACAAACAGTTCTGGACGCCTGCACGCAACGATGGGAATAGACCGGATGCCCCCGAACTGTATGTTTAACATGGTGACGATGGCAACTTTTATGTTCTGAATTGTACCACTGTTTTTAAAAAGGCACTGAAAAAGAATAACCCTTGCCTGCCTTTCTACCCTTCCCACCTGCCGCTCTAGTCGCCAGACCAGCATTCCTAACACACACACACACACACACACACACACACACACACACACGAATGTTCTGGCAGCATGAACACTCTCCACGTCACGTGGCTTTTCTCAGGGTAACAGAAACGGTTGCTGTCCAGCATCGTCGTCGGACATTCCATCGATTTTCCTAAGCTTGAGGCTGAGGCTGTCTCGATGAGAAAAACTCCAAGCATAGAGAGTGGATTTAGACATCCACTGCGGCCATCCAGAGGTCCACTTGAGGGCCGGAAGTGATCCCGCAGCCACAGGCTACACCGTCTTGTTTTGTTCTGTCAAGTTTCTGGAAGGAGAACGCGACAGCTGGTAAGAAAGAAACCAGCAAAAAGCCCTAAAACGGAAGGCGTCGGCGGGGCTCCGTGCGCA